GAGGGGGCGGTGGAGGGACTTGGGGACGGCTCTGGGGAGGAGGCAAGACCTGGAGGATAAGGGAGAGGCAGCCAGGGAGCAGGGGTAGCACGTGGACAGCAGAGAGAAAGCCCCTGCTTATCCCTCCCAGCCCAAGAGCCAAGGTTGGTACAGTCAGTGAGTTCCCTGAGCCCAGTTTCATGCAGCCCCAGTAGAAGGTGAGGTTCAGCCCAGGATGGAAAGGGTCCCTCTGTTTGGCTTGCGGGGAGTGGATGTCCCCTGCCAAGTGCTGCTGCAGATAGTGACAGCTCTTTGACCAAATCTCTGTGACACTCGCCCCAGCCCGTGACTAGGCAGCAACTTCACAGAGCTGAAGTGCACTGGAAGAACCAGCTCGCAGGCACTCATTCAGGAAGCCCAGCTGCTCTGCACAAAGAGAGACCATTTGATGGTGAGAAGATCTGCGGAGAAAGGGGGAGTTTGGCTAAACCCATGAATGAGGGGTTGTGGTGAGGCGGGGCCACTAATTAACTTCTTTATCTCACTGACCATGTTGTGTTCAAGGAAGCCTCAGTAAATGACAACTGGAAATATCCACTTGGAGCCCTGCAGACAAAACAAAAAGCATTCTTTACCCTGTACCCTTTTATTATTTGTGTGTTGGGTGTGGTTCAACAGGCCAGTGATGCCAGCGTTTCAGAGGCAGGGGCAGGAGGATCACTGTGAGTTTGAGACCAGACTGGGTTACAGAGCGACACACTGTATCATAAAAAGTATCTGTGCTTGTGTGTGTGTGTGTGTGTGTGTGTGTGTGTGAGAAAGGGAGAGAGAGAGAGAGAGAGAGAGAGAGAGAGAGAGAGAGAGACAGATACTGGAGATGGAGTCCAGGACCTCATGCTAGCTAGACAAGTGCTAAGCCATACCCCCAGCCCCAAACATTGTTTTCTGGGGGTCACTTCTTTTTCTGAAGAACAACAGAAAAATGTAGTTCATTTCACTAGAGTGGAATGGAGTGGTGCATCATCATTCTCTCTTCTGGGAAAGGGGTTCTGAATCTCCAAGGCAGTAGGGGCCTCCCTCCACAACCACGTCACAGTAGGCCAAGGGTTACTCTCACAGATTTCACTGACCAAATGTGAACATGCAGCAGGCCTGGCTTGTGCAAGGAGGCTAATAGAGTGTTTCTTACCCAGCCATCTTTGCATTGCGCAGGTGTGTTGGTGACAAGATGTCAGAATGCAATGTTAGGAGGGAGAGATAAAATGCCATGTTTTGATAGAGCTAACATTGAGACTTCTCCTGTGCCTTCTTGTGAATATTAACATTGAACTATAGATTGAGAAGCAATTATTTCCGGCACATTGCTCATTTTCATTAAAGTGTTTATTTCCATTGCTGGGGGTTGAACTCAGAGCTCTGTGCATTCCAGCCAAGCCATCTACCACTGAAATACACCCCAGCTTCTACAAGTTTCTTCCTGAAACTTTGTATCCTTCTTTGTTTTGTTTTGTCTTTTGAGACAGGATCTTGCTATGTAATCCACATTGGGCTGGCCTTGGACTCTTAAGCCTCCTGTCTCAGCCTCCTGAGTGTTGAGATTACAGATGCTCACCTGTAACATAATGGAGCTTTCAGGCTTGTGGGAAACACCTGTGATCCCAGTGCTTGGGAAGCTGAGACAGGAGTATTGCTGAGCCCAACCTGGGCTAGTTAGCTCAAGGCCAGCCTGAAGTAGATAGCAAGATGCTGCCTTAAAAATAAACAAACAAACAAAAAAAAAAAACACCGAGAGCTTGCAATGAGAGGAATGAATAGGTGCATGAAGGTTGGGGCTTCTGGGAGCACCAATGATGTCATGGAGTCCAGACACCTACTGGACCTGGGACTTGAATACTCATATGGGACCTGGGCTGGAAATGGGCAGAGTGTGCAAAGGACAAGGAACTAGAATGATCCCATGCACTAGAGCCGGGCCATACAGGTCTCAACGTAAGTGAAAAGGCGGACATTCATCCACCCACCCACATCATCTATCTATCTATATCTATCTATTTATCTATCTATCTATCTATCTATCTACATAACTATCTATGTATCTCTATAATTTATCAATCATTTTCTGTTTTTCTTGTAGTGGTGATTAACACGGAATATTTGCACTGTGATACATCCCAATCCATTTTTGTGGTTTTTACGGTGAGATCTTGTCTCAATAATTCTTACAATGCTTAGGCTGGGCTCAAATTTAAGATCCTTTTGCCTCAGATTCCCAGAAGTTCTGGTATCACCAGACCCCAGTTTGTTTCTTAGTTCAATGTTTGTTTGTTTTTGTAATTTTGAAAAGTTATTTCTTGGGCTGGGGATTT